CATACAAGTGTTTTGGGTTTTTTTTGGGAGAGTTCACACACTTTTTTCCCCAGGACTTGACCCCTGAGTTGCATTGATTCAATACGTCACTATGCGGAAATGCTGATTGGTTCAGCGTGGTATTTTATAATAGCCTCCCAATGCTTTTCTGTGGGAAAGTATTTGGTTGGCTGAGATGACCAGATCTGATTATCTCAGCAAAGGAGGCGGAGCAAGCCATGATCAGATCTGCGCGGCGCTGGAAAAAAAGGTAAGTTTCATAAATTTTTAACTGGAGCCAAGGGGGTTGGCAACTTAAATGGCTGTTTCCAAACTACATGTTTGTATTCCTGACACTGTAGCATTCCTTCAAAGCTGAAACGCTGCACATACATATTACTTGCACCATGGCCACTTCTAAAAGCAGAAGTAGTCATGGTGATTGGAATAACCCTTCAAGGAATGGGTCAGTAATGCCATGTGCATGCATTGCGTCTCTCTTAGTTAACCCTTCAAGGACCAAGCTTCTGGAATAAAATGGAATCATGACATGTCATGTGTCTTTAAGGGGTTAAACCACTGACATACTGGATATTATGACTTCCCATTCTGTAATAAATAGGTACACTACCATCTGCACTGATAAAGTTGGTGCACGTACCTATAGTTTTCCCCAGATATGTCCCTGACATAACATACTTATCAACCAGTCTCAGCTCCTTTTGTATCAAAGGACAATCTCACACACAAGTCACCCAGAGTTAAGTGCACTTCTTTTAAGGGGAACACACCCATTGCATACAGGAGGCAGTGATCGCCCAGGGACAGAGGTCAATGCCCATGCACTTGCAGGGGGAGCTGTTTTTGGCCGCCAGAGTTGTGTGTGTGTGTGTGTACCCCTTAATAGAGGGGGAGACCCACACCCTAGGCAGGCAGCAGCAGCCAGCCAGTGACAGCTCACCAGCAGTGGGTGCAGCTCAGCCAGTGAGTCAGCCAGTGCGCTCCTCCCTCCCTCCCCGGCCCTGACTGGGTTCCAGATTCCATTCCAAGCAGGAGGTTTCATCCGGGTCCCTCCGCTCCAGGATCCCGGTGGTGAGTCAGGCTCTCTGTATACGGTGAGTGCGCTGGGCCTGGAGCTGTGAGAGGGGGGTGTGCAGGAGCAGCCATGCTGTGTTCAGATATATAGGGTCCAATCTGGAGATGGAGGGGTGTGTGGGGGTCACCTTATAGGAGAAATCCTGGGGCTGTGAGGGTTAACATTACAGGAGAAATCCTGGGGATGGAGGAGGGGTGCATGGATCCTTTGAATTTAATTGGGGGGATTAAGGGGTGCATCTGAACACTGCATAAGATCAGTCCTAGAGAAGAAAGGTAGCGTGGGACTAACCAATATGATTATTGCTAGAAATGAAGGGCTCCATGGAGACACCTATAGGGTTAATAGTGAAGAAGAAGAGGCGTGATGCATGGGAGGACCAGTGGGGGAATGAAAGGGGGCACGGAGACTAATGGATTACCTATATGTTCGATCATGAGAATGCAAAGCTGTGTTGGATAGCCCTATAAGATCACTGTTTTTTGGGGGGATCATGGAGCCATCCTGTATGGTCTATCCCAGGGATCAGTGGCTGTATGGGTACATCTTAGAAAGCCAATCTGCGAGAAAAGTAAAAGTATGCATGGTTTTCACTATAGATACAAACAGAGAATGGAGGGGTGTATGGGGTCACCATACAGGATTTTTCCTGGAGACTTGAAAGTCAGTATTTGGGATGTCTTTATTTTGTTAGTCCTGAATGTATGGTATCTGTAGTAACCTTATAGGGATAATAATCGAGCTAGATGAGAGTATGGAGTGATAAGGATGAGGTGGGAGGTATGGAATGCCCAGTAGGGCCAAAGAGGGTATTAGAACTCTCAATATGGATTGATTCTGTTACTGGTTAATTTTAATGATGGATGTTTTTATGGGGACCATATTGGGTATAGGGTTAGCCAACATTCTACTGTATAGTTTTAACCCTATACGTTAACCCCAAGCATGTCTAGGATTAACTGTAATAACACTCATATACAGATCCATCCACAGCATTAACCATATAAGGCCATCACATACCTTCTTTCTGAAGAAGGCCTGCCCATGCACACCTCCATCATTTAATTCTTGCGTTTGAGATGTAGATGGTTATACTACTATTAATGCTGAAACTAAAAGTGTATTTGGGGATGACCCCGGAGTGTAGTGTAGATCACCATGTTTGTCAATACTGGAAATTTGTGTTCATGGAAGTCAACGTTGATGGTTAATCCAGGAAATAGGTGTAAACAAAATCACAAGGTTCTTTAATAGATTATTAAAAGTTAGTACTCATATTATTTGCCTCTGAAAGAACTGACCTTGCAAGGAATCAAGACTGAGGTTGGAACAGATAATGCCGAGGATGAAAAATCAAGTAACCCATGTTGGGCTGCTAATTTATGTTTGAACCACTCTATTACCCAATTCTGTCATGGAAGGTGGTGTATATGGCAGATCGATCATATCTGGAAATTCATGTATATTGAGGTCACTGTCTATAGATCAGTACTGAAAACTGGTGTATACAGAAACTGTCATGTGGGAGTTAAAGCCTGGAAATTGGTAAATATTGGAGTTGCCACAAGGGTTCGATCCTAGAAAATGGTGTATACATGATCCTCGTGGGGCAGGAAAAATGATGTGTATTGTGGTTGCCACATAGAGGCTAGGCCTGTTAATATGTGCATATGGAGTTTCTATGTAAGAGTTCATTTCAGGATACTGGTGCATAATGAGTTGCTATGGAAGAGGCCATTCAATGAAATTGATTAATTTAGGGACAGCACGGTGTGCATGAAAATTGGTGCAAATGGGAAATGTCCTGGAAACTGGTGTATAAGCCAATGAAATGCAATGCAAGTCATTATGAGGTCATTATGCGGTGTATATCTTAGCTAAATGTGAGTTGGTTCTTGAAGTTGGTGTATATGAACCCTAGGGGGTCCACCCTTGAAATTCTTGTATTTCACATTTGCAAATTAATGTACATTGGGTTACCAATGGTATATTAGCTAATATGGTGATTCCACCATTTGGGATATTAGTGCTGGAAATTTGATTAAATTCCTGTTGGAATTCTCAGGTCAGTCCTGCAAAAATGTGTATTTGAAGATACCACGTGGGTCACAAATGAGTGCTTATAGGGCAAAGTCAGCTTTGACATTTTGCAAGTCAACATGGTTTGGAGCTAGAAAATGGGGGCACCTTGTGGGAGAGTAGTGCTGGGCACTTGTGTACATTGTACATTGTACTTGTCTCTGTTACCATTTCAAGGTCAGGACTGGAAATTGGTGTTAGTGGAATGTACCAAGTGGGTCAATTCTTATAGTTTGGAGTTACCATAGGTCAGTACTGGACAATGTTGTGGAGGGGTCAACGTTTGAGCAATCAGTGCAAGAAGTGTGTGTACATTGGTGGTGTAATGTGTGAGATCAGTGTTAATCATTGTAACTATAACTATAGTGGGGTTACCATGTGGGATGTCACTCCTCAAATTGGTGCATATGGTGTGGCCAAGTAGATTAGTTCTGGAAAGTGTTGTATAAGTGGATTGTTACGTCCGATATTTCTTGTTTAGTGAGGTTGTAAGATGATGTTACTCCTGGAGATTGATGTACATTGAGCTTGCCAATTCAAGGTTAATTCTGTAACTTTGTTAATATAGTATCATCAGATGGGCTAAGGCTTGTCATTTGTGATGACTGAGGGTAAGTATTTCTTGATCAGCCCTGAAAATGTTTTCATATTAGTCACTACTGGACGATAGCGCACGTGATTGTTGCCATATGTATGTGTCTGGCCTGGAAATTGGTGAATGTGAGTGTTGCATTGGGACTGGTACTGGAAATTGGTTTACATAAAGATTTTAATGCAGGAGGTCCATGCTACAAACTTGTGTCAAACTAAGCTGGTAAATCGGTGTATTTTGGGTTACCATATGGGTGCTACTCCTGGTAATTAGTTTAGGTAGCATTTGCCATGTGGTGTCCAGACCTGGAAACAAATTGGTGCATGAAGAATGCGATGGCGGAGGCGGCTAGCCTTATAAATTAGAGTTTAGGAGATTTTTTGTGTGGTGATCAGAAATAAAAACTGGTGTACATAGCAGCTACCACTTGGGGGGGAGGGGGGGGGGATGAGGACCTGGGAATGGGTGTGTTTGATGGGTTCAGTTAACCCAGAATATTTGTTTCATTTTATTTTAGTGGGGAGAGTTAAACTTGTCGATTGAAGTATATTTTGGTCACATCCTATGCCTATATATATGTATATATATGTATATATATAATTTCCACGATCCCAGCACTCTAGTTCCCGGTCGCGGTTAATGATGCTCCGGTGACAACTCCAGCCATAGTATAGGAAAGAAGATGAGTGCACTATGGAGACTGTTGTAGTAAAGTGGAAATGCTTTTATTTAGCACAAATAAACATCAACGTTTCAGTCCTCCTGGACTTTTCTCAAGACCTTTTCTTGAGAAAAGTCCAGGACTAAAACGTTGATGTTTATTTGTGCTAAATAAAAGCATTTCCACTTTACTACAACAGTCTCCATAGTGCACTCATCTTCTTTCCCCTGTCTCTCTATAGGATATATATATATATATTATTATATTTTACACTTGTGTAGTTGGGGTGGTGGCTGGTTATAGGTTACATATCACAGGGGGACCCCCATACTCGGTGTACGACAGACACTGTGCAGTTCTACATCTATCCGCGGCCTAGTGACATCCAAGGGTTAAACACAGGACTTGTAGCTTCCCAGAGGGAGTAAAGGGCTCTGCTTTCCCGGTTCGGGTAAAGAAGTAGTGGGTGCAGGGGACCGACCCCCGTGTGGTTAAAGACATTCCAGGGACAGCCAGAGCTGGGTATACTGGGGGCAGCCTGTGGCAGAGCCATGTTACTATTAGTAATAGAATAAGACACAGACAGTATGTAAGGAAGGAGTTCATGTTTGGGAGGCCCCACACTCTGACGGGGGGTGGAGGGGGGATGTTAATACGAGTCTCTGTGCAGCAGCTAGTGAGACCATGCAGGTGGCAGTGCACGGGTTAATGTCTCTGGGATGGGCGGTCTGTGTGGAGGCCGTGTCCGGCAGCGCAGGGGTTAACGCGCGCCTCAGTCAGATCGTGCAGGATGCAGTCAGGCCGCCGCTGATTGGCTGGGAGAGAGGGCGGGGCAGCCGCTGATTGGCTGGGAGAGAGGGCGGGGCTCCGCCTTGTGTCTGGGGCGGAAGTAGAATGCCAAGGAGCAGCCTGCAAGGGGGGAGATCTCTACTGTAATGGAGCTAAGCATCATGGGAAGTGTAGTTCTTGGGATCTATCCGCGGCCTAGTGACATCCAAGGGTTAAACACAGGACTTGTAGCTTCCCAGAGGGAGTAAAGGGCTCTGCTTTCCCGGTTCGGGTAAAGAAGTAGTGGGTGCAGGGGACCGACCCCCGTGTGGTTAAAGACATTCCAGGGACAGCCATTACTGAGAGCAGTGAAATGTGATTGGGTAAAGGGAGCAGCCTCTACTGGGCAGCACAGAGGTAGTGGATGCAGGGCTGGAGTAAAGGAGTAGTAGATACAGGAGCTATTTCCCATGGCTGCTGTGATGGAGTAATGGCATTTCATTATTCTGATAGCAATAACGGAGGAGGGGGGGGATTATTCTCTCTAATGAGCATAAAATAAGTGTGACTAAAAAAAAAGAGGACAGGAATTGGGATGAAAATTAATCAGAGGTTAGCCTTGGGGGTAGTAAATTAATAGAGGCACAGATAAAGGGACCAACATCTTGGAGGTGGGTGCAGGATAAGACTCCTAGACCTAGTTAGTAGAGTAGTATACTTCTAATCTGCTTCTTACCAATTTTGTACCAACAATCACCCAATTTTTTTTTTTTTACTTGGTATTAGCTCAATGATCTGTCCAATTATAAATAAAGTTCATTTGTAAAAAAAAAAAAAAAAAAAGAGGAAACAAAAAAATATAACATCTTTCTTAGACACTTTCTAATGTTAATAGCTTATAAGGAAACAATTTATTGAGGACCTGTGGCTGGGGCCTAATGAATATGGTGTGCACGTTCGTACCAGTGGGGATCCACTCAATATTTGTGGTCCTGACTCTAAGTTTAAAACCACTACGATAAACAGATCAGTCTTCCAGTTGAAGGTAAAGGAGCAGCGTATTTGTATTCCATATGCAGGATACATTAATAGTGGCGGAGACATGCATATGTCTCTCAGAATTTGGTCCCATTGCAACACTCACATTCACCAATTTCCAGGCCAGACACATACATATGGCAACAATCACGTGGGCTATCTTTCAGTAGTGACTACTATGAAAACATTTTCAGGGCTGATCAAGAAATAACCTCAGTCATCACAAATGCATTTCATTGCCCTTATACACCAGTTTCCAGGAAAAATTCCCATATGCACCAATTTTCATCTCTGACCACACCGTGCCTTCCCTAAATTAATCAATTTCATTGAATAGCAACTCATTATGCACCAATATCCTGAAATGAACTCTTACATAGAAACTCCATATGCACATATTAACAGGCCTAGCCTCTATGTGGCAACCACAATACACATAATTTTTCCTGCACCACGAGGATCATGTATACACCATTTTCTAAGAACGAACCCTCATGGCAACTCCAATATTTACCAATTTCCAGGCATTAAGGAGACACTATAGTCACCAGAACTACAGCTTATTGAATTTGTTCTGGTGAGTAGAATCATTACCTTCAGGCTTTTTGCTTAAAACACTGTGTTTTCAGAGAAAATGCAGTGTTTACATTACAGGCTAGTGACAACTTCACTGGTCACTCCTCAGATGGCTGTTAAGATCCTTCCTGGGTCATGGTTGCCTAAAATGCATCCAAACATTCAGTGTCTCCTCCCTCTGGATGCAGACACTGAACTTTCCTCATAGAGATTCATTGATTTAATTCTTCTCTATGAGGAGATGCTGATTGGCCAGGGCTATGTTTGAATCATGCTGGCTCTGCCCCTGATCTGCCTCCTTGTCAGTCTCAGCCAATCCTATGGGGAAGCACTGTGATTGGCTCAGGCTACCACTTCTGATGATGTCAGCAGACAGCTTGTTTTTCTGAGGCAAAAAGCATGCAGAGTTACAACTCCAGACTTGAAAACAAGTAAGATTTCTATATTTAGGGAGGCATGAGGGGACCAGAATGGCTAGATGGTGGTTTTATCCCTATAGGGTCAGGAATACATGTTTGTGTTTCTGACCCGATAGTGATCCTTTAACTCCCACATGACAGTCTCTGTATACACCAGTTTTCAGTACTGACCTATAGACGGTGACCTCAATATACAAGAATTTCCAGATATGATCGATCTGCCATATGCACCACCTTCCATGACAGAATTGGGAATAAGAGTGGTTCAAACATAAATTAGCAGCCCAACATGGGTTAGTTGATTTTTCATCCTCTGCATTATCTGTTCCAACCTCAGTCGTAATTCCTTGCAAGGTCAGCTCTTTCAAAGGCCAATAATATGAGTACCAACTTTTAATAATCTATTAAACAACACATTAGCCCTGCACTCAAAATAATATCTCCTGTGAGTGCCTGTCATTTGCCATAGTTGTTTGTTGTTAAAAAAAAATAAAACAAAAAAAGTTGGTTTATTTTGTGTAATAATGTCTGTATGTTTATCTGCCCCTGAGCCAGCATTAGTGTTCTACCTACAAAATAGATCATGCTTCTTTCAAAACTACAACTAGAGTTTATTCTTCAATGTAAGAATTGTACATTTTTATACAAGCCACACTGGACTCCAGGGAAAGGATCCACTCCAGTTCTTCCAAGTAGGGAGGCTGGGTGGACATATATTAAAATAAAAAAAATATTTGTGTATGTCTGTCAGTCAGTAAGTGTGTATGCTTAGGTTACTGGCCCCCCTCCGATCACATGGGAAAGGTCTTTTTACTCCCCTTTCCCACGCCATGCATATCTCGCCCTGTCTCTGTGGCTGAGATAATCAGCATCTCCTCATAGAGATGTATTGAATCAATGCATATCTTTGGGGAATATTCAGGCCTCTGTGCAGAGTGTGGAGGTGCTGGACTAGGAATCACCTCTAGTGGCCATCTGAGTGACTGTCACTACAAGTGGTACTAGGCAGCAATATAAACACTGCCCTTTCTCTGAAAAGACAGTGCTTACATTGAAAAGCCTACAAGGGCAGGATAATGACAAGCTGTAGCAGTTCCCTTTAAGAACTGTATTTTTGTTGATGAAAATTAAACTACGTTAGTTTAAAAAAAAAAACCTGGCTCCTAACTTTTTTAGCTGGATCCTCGATTCCAAGCAAATTTGTCAAGCTCTGGTCAATTACTAACATAATAATAAAAAAAAAGTTCCTACATATATTTCAGTTTGCTCCCATAGTACTTTTTGCTCATCAGACCATTCTCTGTAAACTCAGGTGACTTTAATGCTGGAAATCTAAGGAGGCTAGCTATTTCTAATGTGCTGACACCACTATGTCTGGCATGACTAATATATGATCACAAGTTTTTCTCATTGTAACATTTGCTCCAACAACAACTAAACCTCCTTACCATATCTGCATGATTTCTATAATGACGTGCAGCCTCATGACTTACTTTTTTTTCAGTTTACATTAGGAAGCTGTGTATTTCTGTATCTTCGAAAGACCTGTATATATACTTTGTGTAGTTAGTCAACAAACCTTATTTAATGTTTTATGTTCAGTGATCAGACTTTTAATAGACTGCATGGCCAATGGCCAAAGGTGTGCGGACACTTGAGCTTGTTAGCCAATCCAGCACAAAACCATGGTCGTTAATATGGAGTTGGATCACCTTTGGGGAAGGTATTCCACGAAATGTGGATTGTTCCTGTGGGAATTTGTGCCCATTCAGCCAAAAGAACATTTATGACATCAGACACTGATATTGGGTGAGAAACTTTGGGTCACAAACTGCATTCCAATTCATCCCAAAGGTGTTCAGTGGGCTTTGTGCAGGCCACACAAGTTTCTTTACAACAAACTCATCAACCCATGTCTTCATTGCCATTATGAGTTGACAGGGTATTCACCAAATTGAAAATTTCCGCAAATTCAACCAGAATGGAAAAACTGCTGAAAAAAAGCGGATCTGGAAGAAATCTTCAGTTTAGTACTCAAAAGTGTTAGCTTCAGTTTTTCCATTCAGATTTAATTCACAAAAACTTTGCCTTTTTTTTTCTCACCCTTTGCTCCCCCACATAGTGTGCGGTGTGTGCTGACTGTGTGTAGTGTGTACTGTTTTCTGGATGTGTGTGTGTGTGATGTTTGCTGGTGCATGAAATATGTGTGTTGCTTGCTGGCTGTGTATAATGTATTTGTACTTTGATGCACGTGGGTAGCGAAGGCTAGCCTGTCTGTTCCGATCACACAGAAGAGCATAGTTCAAATTGCTGAAAAACGTAATGCTGGCCATAATAGAAAGTTGTCAGAACACAAGGTTTATTGCAGCTTGAATGGGGCTGTGTAGCCTCAAACTGGTCAGAGTGTCCATGATGACCACTGTCCACTGCCGAAAACACCTTCAATGTAGACGTGGGTGTCAGAACTGGACCATGGAGCAATGGAAGAAGGTAGCCTGGTCTGATGAATCACGTTTTCTTTTAGATCAGACGGATGTCCGAGTGCATGTGCATCGCTTACCTGGGGACGAAATGGCAGCAGGATGCGCTGGGCAATGTTCTGCTGGGAAACATTGGGTTGTGGCATTCATGTGGATGTTATTTTGACACGTACCTACCTAGAGACTCTACCTAATAAGACTCGTAGGTCAAATTGTATCCAAGGTATGTATTCAGAAGGCTATTTGTTAAAAATGCACAATAACACAAATCATTTGTGTATTGCTCACACAGGATTAAGGCTTATTGGAGGTGTGACATTGTATTTTGGGGGCTGTCTTTCCACCAAATTTTGACTATCATTTGCACCTTCTTGTGTTGTACATATTGTGTGGATTTTGGTGTCTCTTGTGGGGAGTTAAGGTTCCCTGAATATGGAGCACCAGTGGGGCAGAAGAGGCCATTGTGGGACATGCTCTTCAGTATGACCCATTGTAGTGTCAATGTTATTTTATGGAGATTTCATGACCTTGTGCTAGATTTTATGCACCTGT